TTCATAAATTCATTCATTCATTCATTCCTTCCTTTCCTTATTCCTTCCTTCCTTCCTTCCTTCCTCCCTTTATTAATTGATTGATTGATTGATTGATTGATTGATTGATTGATTTTTTATGATAGGCAGTATTGAAGGTTGATAAAACCAACTACAATGCCTTGGTTTTCATTGGTGTGTGTGCTAAAGAGATGGATCAGCCAGACCAGGCACAGGCTGCATACAAACGAGCCATTGAATCTGATCAAGACCAGATTCTTGCTTGGCAGGTAGGCTCTGACTAAACTTTATTCTTCATACATACTGTATACACTTCACCAACATATGATCATCACTTCAATGACATTCACCTGAGAGTTAGATGACAATCCAGGTCTTAAAATGTCAGTGGATCAGTCGCTGGTCATGATCACAAGCCAAATTAGTTTTCGCTTGGACATACCTCATTTCTGGCTTAACGTTATTGGTCAAAATGATCTGCAAGGCAAATATTTGGTTGGTCAGGTCCCAGTTCTGGTGGGACATTGTCCGATGCCCAGCTGTTATTTTAAGCTCTGCAATTGGCTGAGTGTTAAGAAATCATCAGCCAAATCATCAGAAACAGTTCTGACTGGTTTAGAGATGCAGTACTTTGTGTAGCCATAATTAATTGGATGGGGCCAATAAAACTCCCTCTAGAATCTGCTATAGTTCCAGCTACAGCTATTCAACAACTTGTCTGTATTTTTATCATTATTGTTATTAGTTTTATTATTTATTTATTTAATTATTATTCAAAAAGGGTCTTGCCTCACTGTATGAAAAGGAGACAGGAAACCCAGGATTTCAAGAAGAACTGCCAGGGATTTATAGAAAACTTATGAAGCTGTATGAAAGGTTTGTCGTCCCTAAAATAATTTAAATTAATACTACTCTAAGAAAGAAAAGTAGAGTTTATGAAATGTGTTTTTATCACTCGGTAAAGATCTATATGTTAAGTGTATGCTACATCGAGTGTATAAGCAGATTGAAAAATCTGCCTCAGTTCTGCCTCTGGTTCGAGTCCCGTGAGAACCCAACTGAGGCAGATTTTTTAATCTGCTTATACACTCAATGTAGCATACACTTAACATATAAAAGTAGAGTTGTCTTTAAAATAGAAATTCAATGATAGCTAGTATAAAATTATTGAATACTTTCTTGGCTGTGGCTGTTATAGATCTGACATGGGAAAGTGGAAAGAAGTCAATTTGAAGCTAACAAATTCGTGTCAGAAACAAGGAAAAATTGTGGAGGTAATTGATTTAATTATTCAATAACAATTTTTGGATTCATCTGTAAAAAAAATAATAAAAAAACAAAAAACAAAACAAAACAAAACAGAAAAAAAGCATATGTTTGCTATACAAATTTTTTCTTCAGTCTTAAATATTTCTTTGTTCCTTCATTCATTCATCATCAGTTTACTTTCAGGACTCCATCTAAGCTAGCCTTGCTAAACTGAAAGTTCCTATATAACTAATATTGACTTTAAAAATAATAAAGAAAAAAAGAAAACAAATTCATTTCAGTCTCTGTTCCATAGTTTATTTCTTTCTTTCTTCCTCCTTCTCTTTCCTTTTTTTTTTCTTTCTTCTTCCATTTCTTTTTTCACCTTTCTTTGTTTCGACTTGACCCCCTTTTTTATTTGTCCAACCATTTTCGATTCAACTTTTTTCTTTTCATTTTCAATTTAAAGTTTTTGAAAGATTTCCCCCTTCCCTGTATTGTTTTAGGCTACTGAAGCAATTGAACAACTGATACAGTTATCTGAGGACACACAAGAAAAATATGACTTGAATTTAAAGATGGTAGCTTTACTAGAAGGACAGGTAGGAAATGCTTTATTTTTATTTTTCCAGTTGGGTATCCTATTAGAAATAGTGTGTTCTGATTGGCTTTTGGAGGAGGCAGTATTTATATACCTCTGACCACAGTGATAGACCAGTGATAGTCATTTCATGATCGTCATAAATAAATAGTTCACTTTAGCTTGAATGTAATGTTTTTCTATTTCAAACCACGTGCAGTATGTGTGTCGATCATTTCTTGGTTGCACACGAGAGACACTTGAATATGGATAAAACTCAAACGAAGAATGTTATTCTCAAGAATGACACATGGTCTGAAATAGGAAAGCATTAAGTCTAATATTGACCACAGGTTTTAAATTATACAGTACATTGCCAAAGTAGTAGTAGTTATGACAGTATGTTTTTTTTAAACACAAGGTATTTGATTAATTCGTACTTAATTTTATTTGGGTAGGAATCAAAAGATGTCGCAATCTTGTCCAAGGTATGTAAAAAATATCATTAGACCACATGCAGCTGCACAATAGTATACAAATTATGTTTTTAATGTTAATTATGATTATTCCTAGCTACTTCAAAATTAACAAAATTAATTTTCTAAATTTGTATGTCGAAATACTGACAATAATAACTTGTTTTTGTGTGCACTTCTCTGGTTAGTTGGTGTCTGTGCTTCAAACTTTGGTACGTGGGGAGTGGTCATCGGCAAGTGAAAATGATGGCATAGCAAACTATACCAAAGATATCAAGACATTAATCACAATACAGGTATAATATTGTTCTTAGTTAAAAGTAAGGTTGTTAAATAATGTATGTAGAGCCTTGAGAAAAACCCTTGACTGAAATCCTGTTCATATGGTTTAATTTTTAGCAGAAATCGGCTGACAACTGCTATGAGAAAGAAAATCTTTCTGGGGGG